TGAGGTAAACCACTTTCCTCCAATACAGTCTCCATACCATGATGCTGTGCCTCACTGCTCACAGACCCAGAAATAACAGACAGGAAACCATGGACCAATGTCTCTGAAATGATTAGCCAAAATAAATTCTTTATCTCTTAAGCTCTTTTCTAAGGCATTTTGTCGTAATGATAAAAAAGAACACATATTCTGAAAAAACAGAAAGAATAATATTTAATTCAAGTACCTGGTAATAAGTACCATTAGCAAGTATTACAAAAGACTGAGCCTCAATTTATATTTGCTTGAAATTTCTACCTTCAAATTTGATTTTCTCTGAAAAGATTTGGGCTGAAGGAGGCAAAAGATAAAAGGGCAGAGAGTCACCTTTACAGTGTGCTCCTCTATCAGTCATCTGTCCCCTGGGATGTAACTGTCTATTCCTTGTACATAGTTCTGGGATTTAAAAGCATGGGTCACATGGCAATAGCCAGTTGCTTGTTAGGACACACACCAACTCTGATTAGACAGGCCTAGATCTCTGGTGATCCTGAGATGTTTGAAGAGCACAATGAGGATTTTACTAAGGTTTAACTGGGATTTCATGATGAAATATAAGCTTAGCACAGCACCTAGGCATAAAAGACACTTGGTAAATACTGTGAGACATTACTATAATTATCATCTAGAGAGGTTAGCATTTTGGAAAAGTGCTTCATAGTTATGTGTGACACTATTCCGGAGGAGACGAGAACAAACTTCTACTCACCAGATGCAGAAAGGACAGGAGACTACAGTAAGGCTATCACTAAAGTCCACCTTGGTGAAGCAATAAGTTTGTTGGAGTTACTTCCAGGAATATGGGAGAAATGACTCCAAGACAGCTATATCACGAAAAGCCCGTCCCAGCATAGGTGACAGCTCAGGAAAGTTGGAAACCTAGAGCTTAAGTCACAATGTGCAGGCAGCTCAACAGGCTGGAGATGGTCTCTTCCGAGTAGCTCAGGTGGTCTGAGCCTCTTCCCAGCAGCTCAGTCAGTCTTGAGGATATCTCTCTGAAGTCTCTTCCATTTACTAAAGCTTGGGGAAGGAGGCGTCTATTGAAATCTGGTCAATTTCAGGAATTTCCTGAAGACTTATTTCCTGAGCTTAGTGAGCTTCCCTGAAGGGTGGACTGTTTCATCTCCCCTTAGAACGTCTTTGTCTTAATGAGCTTCCCTCCAAGATGAAAGATGTTTATCTTGGAGAAAACTGCTCCACAACAGAGTTAGCTGGCAACTGTTAAGACCCCATATCACTGTCAGAGATATCCCCATAGGGACAGCTGGATGCTGAGGCGCTGGATGCTGAGGAACAGAAGCACCTACTGTTGTGGCCCAGACTCGAAGTGTGCACACGTGTGAACGGGTGAAAGTGTCCTTTCCTCAAAACTGGGGGAAAGCTGTCATAGTAAATATATAAATCAGTGACTATTACGGAAGTGGAAGCTGATCCCTAGAGTTGCACACCCAGGAGGCTGTACCTGCAGGCTGTCTCCACCCTGTGTAGGTCTCAAATTGCTGTCATCTATGTTTTAACAGGTCCTAGGTGGGTCACTTGAAATTCTTTCTTGTTTACAGAGCACATATGTAAAAGAAGTTTGAAGTCCAGGACACACCAAAAAGGAAAAAGCTGAAGTAAAGGATGGACTAAGGATGGACTAAGGATGGACTAAGGATGAACCAGCCTATTTTCCACTTGTAGCTTCCTAAGATTGCACAAATAGGAGTCTGTGGGGCTGGAGCGATGGCTCAGCGGTTAAAAAGACTGTCTTCTCTTGCAGAAGACCTGGGTTCGAATCCTAGCACCCACATGGAAGTTAACAACTGTAACTCCAGATCCAGAGGATCTGACAACCTCTTCTGTCCTCTGCAGGCATTGCCCTACATGGGTGCACTTACATACATGCAGGCAATACATGCATACACATAATAAATAATATTAAAAAATAGGGGTCTGTGCATTAAAAAATATTGCATGAAAAAAATTCTTCAAAGCATAAAAATTTGCTCCTTAATAACTAGTATATGTGAAAACATTACCATTGAAATCTACCTGATGACTTTATATCCATGCTCAGATGCTAAGGAGCTCAGAAAGTAACCGACTGTGACTAGTAATAATCAGATATATAGAGATTAGAAACGCATGTGCAAACATTTTAATGTCAATTGCATTGAAGTTTTCTGCATGAAACTCTGTATTTTAATAATGCAATGGAGATCTTTTTTAAAGGTTAAAACCTCATTTAATTTTATGTCTTATAGGGTTTATACTGAGTACAATATTGTGTAAATGTATTAATTCAACTGTAAACCTAAAAATTTACAGCCAATTTTGAAAGAGATGCATCTTAGCTCTGGAAATTGTTATTGAATATGTCAAT